TGGGGAAGCGCTGGGCTGGGTTCCCTAGGGAGGGGTGGAATCTCCATCCCTAGAGGTGTGTAAGTCCCGGCTTGACACAGCCCTGGCTGGGATGATGGAGTCGGGGTTGGTCCTGCCTTGGGCAGGGGGCTTGGTGGCTCCTGAGGTCTCTGCCCGCCCTTGGATTCCATGATCCGCTGATTCTCTCTCTAATTAAGGCTCCCTCTCTCTGCTACTGGGCTGGAGCCATACGGCCAATATGGGACCATGGCCAGTAGCCTTCAGTTTAGCCCCCCCCTCCCGCCAGAGGGTTTGGTGAGCCACGGGAACCACACAGAGGGTGACCCATTCTCAGAGACCAAGGCGGGCCGTGCTCGTGGTGCTACGCTAGCCGTGCACTACTGAGCGGTGGTGAGTACACCGTGGGTTAAGGGGGCTGTAGCAGGCGTGACAATCCACCCCCCCAATCCCACACCCCCGCAGCGGCCCACGTGGGTGCCTTTAAGCCTCAGAGGAACTTGAAACATCCTCAGAGCCACGTCCTTGCGCTGGAGCCACGTGGCAGCTGCTGGGGTTCACTGACGCCTCCACCCACCCAGCCCAGGTCCACGGCATGTGACGTCACGGACACCAGGTCAGAGAAAAAGGCTGCACCTTGGGCGTGGCGCGCTGGAACACGTGGTGTCTTGTCTGACTTCGCTTCCTCGCACACCAAGGGGGACCAAGGACCGGCCTGCGCTGCTACGTGGGTGGGGGATCGCCAGATTCAGTGGTGGAGCAGGAAGAGAGCCCCGGGCGCAGGTCGCTCGAGCAGCCAAGCCAGGTCTCTTGAAGGATGCAGGCAGGGGGCGCCCGATCTGCAGGGAGGGAACTACCTGGAGGAGGAGGAGGACACGCGAATTGGCTGGTACAAAAATGCCGCCAAGACACGCCCAAAACAGAACCACGTCCTTGAGTCGTCACACGTGGTTGGTCCTGCTTCGGGGTCTGGCTCGATGACTCCACCCTAGAATTCCACGAGCCTCAGATCCGAATGTGGTTCCTCGGCTCATCTGCATACTGCAATCCGATTGGCTGCAAGGAAACGAATCGGCCGGGTGTGGCACAAAGTAAACGTCTACTCCCCATGCGTAACAGCTACCCAAGCATCCAGCAGTGGGGCTGAGCGTGGCCACGACGCCTGGCTACGGGGGCACCGTTCGCTATGGCAGAAGGGGAGCCCCCGACCGTGGGTTGCTCCTCCCCGAGGGTTTCTGAAAGGAGGTGCCAGCTTGCTGCCTCTGAGCGGCGCCCACTGCTTTTCCCCCACCCCACCCTGTCCATCAGCTGTGCTTCTAGCATGGCCTCTTGTGGGGCTGCACCAGACAGCCCCTCCTCCACTGCCATCCAAGCCACGTGTCCACAGCGAAGTGGTGGCTAGACTTACCCCCCCGTATCCTGCCTCCGCCTGGCATCCCAGTGGCACCCTGGGGAGCTGCAGCACCCGGCTAGGGCAGGCAAGCGATGGCTAGCGAAGTCTGCTGGGAACGGGAGAGGCAAAGGGGGAGCCGCAGAACAGACGTCGGGAGAAAGCCAGCCCGTGTGGGTGGGTTTCTTGCACCGATGGGTTATTTATGCAGAGCTGGCAGCAGGGGAAGCATTCTCCCCTTGCGGCGCGCCAGGCAAACAGATGGTTTGTTTCGGATTCGATGGGGCTTCAGCATTCGCAGTTTTCGCGCGTCTTTTTCTTTGCACACGTCCGCCAAAGAGAGACGCGAGCTGGCACTCAACTCCGGGCATGCCAAGGCGGCCCAGTGAAGTTTCACGCAGCTTCGGTCAGAGACTGGCCTTACGGCTTTGGGGAAAGTTCAGCTGTGTGTCGCAAGGGCTCTGCGTGGACCCAGCATGGCTAGTGGAAAATTTGGATGCGTTGGGGGTTTTGCAAATAGTTATACGGGGACCCTGACAGGCACGTGTTGCTTTACACACGTTTGCCGTCACAGGGCAATGAGAACAGCACCTGTCGTCTTACCCTGGTGTCTCTTCTGGCCACTGCTAATGAACC